AGTAAAATCAAGTAGAAACGAAGAATGACAAGTTTCCCAGACAAAGAAAGCGATCATCCCGAGTTAAAAATGCATCCACATAAATTGGACGCTGGATTAAGCCAAATATTACGGTCCAAAACACAGGTTAACCAAAAGTTTAATCTGATCGAGCATTACCTCAGCTAGTCGGTTGAGAGCTTGAATACGAGTTTCGCTTGCTTTAGCCTTTAGTTCAGCATGAGCAAGCAGTGAATCCATACGCTGACGCTCAGTTTCAAGGGCACGAAGGCGCTTCTCCTCTCGTTTTTTCTCATACTCACTAAGATTGCAGGAGGGCTAAATATAAGTAAAAAATGAATGTAACGGTAATAATATTTGAAAAAAATTATGAATGTAAACGTTTAGTGGTGCTTTAAAATCAAAGCCAAGTCAAGTTGTCCTAAGGCTACAGAACCAAGTTTGAAGCTAGTTTAAGATAAAGTACGAACAAAACATACATCTGCGAAAGTAAGAAGTGAAAATGAGTTATAATGAAATAAACGTAGTAAATGCAAAAGCTCATAGCAACAAACAACTACATTGAAATAAAATGCGAAAATAACTAATAAAAACAATATAAAAGAAACTAGTTAAAAAAGATATCTTTTTAGTGTTGGTTTTAATTTGTTTTCGCAACTTGTTCGGAGCATCAGGGAGACCTTGTGGAAGGTACCTAGTCGTATCCTCTGCAATAGTATTAGTGATTTTCAGAGTTGGACCATCAACTTGGTGCATTCCAAAACGTGACAAATGAGAGCAATCTATGACAAACCGTTCCGGCATCACTTCTTTTTCCTATTTGTTGTCCTAGCTTTTAGTGCTACATCTCGTTCGCCTAACCCCACTTCATATGGCTCATTTACCTATTGACACAATTTTGTGCTCTCGTTTCCGAAAAATGTGTGGATACAAGTGGATTTAGTGAGGCATAATCATACTCACCAGTGATTCCAGGTGCTGTTTGCAGGGCTTCCGACCTTCATTTTGTCTCCCTTATTCCACCTTGCTTGTCAATTGGTTGCTGCTACACATCAAAATCAGTGTGGCCGTCTGAAATCTGGCTGTGTATGGGCCTTCAATTTCCGTCTAGTTTATGGCATAATAGGGGATTAAGCGTTGATGATGCCCATGCCTAGGCATCATTCTCTCCCTGGGCTTTCTCATTCCTACCCACATTGTATCTAATTCTTTGTGACCCCATGTATAATTTAATTTGGGACCGCCAGTGTGAAAATGTGCCACCTCCATTTTCCACTCCTGAATAACGTACAGCATGCTCCCCTTGTCTTTCAAGTTGATAGTCCAATCTAATCCTAAAGTGCTAGTCAGATATTT